CAGGATGTCTGGCTCAAGGTCTGCAACCACATTATCTGGGTTGTCTGGGATATCCAAATCTTTCTGGTATAATTCCTCTGTGTATTCTTGCCACCTCTTCTTGATGTCTTCTGCTTCTGTTAGGTCCCTCCCATTTTTGTCCTTTATCATGTTCATCTTTGCACAAAATGTTCCTCTAATATCTCCAATTTTCCTGAACAGATCTCTGGTTTTTCCTTTTCTATTATTTTCCTCTATTTCTTTGCATTGTTCATTTAAGAAGGCCCTCTTGTCTCTCCTTGCTATTCTTTGGAAGTCTGCATTCAGTTTTTCATTCAGTTTGGGTTGTTTGTCATGCTGAAAAATTAAGTTCCTCCTCATGTTCAGCCCTCCTCATGTTAAGGTTTCTAGCAGCAGCCTCAAAGTTTTGTGCCAATATTGATTGGTATTTGGAACTGTTCATAATTCCCTCTACCTTGACTAAGGTCCAGCTGAAGAAAAACAGCCCCAAAGCATGATGCTGCCACCACTGTGCTTTACTGTGGGTATGGTGGTCTTCTGGTGATGCGCAGTGTTGTTTTTGCGCCAAACATATCGTTTGGAATTAGCACCGAAAAATTCAACCTTCGTTTCATCAGACCATAAAACTTTTCCCCACATCTTTTGGGAGATTTCAGATGTGTTTTTGCAAAATTTAATCGGGCTTGGATGTTTTTCTTCGTAAGAAAAGGCTTCTGTCTTGTCACTCTACCTCATAGCCCAGACATATGAAGAATATGGGAGACTGTTGTCACATGTACCACACAGCCAGTACTTGTCAGATATTCCTGCAGCTTCTTTAACGTTGCGGTAGGCCTCTTGGCAGCCTCTCTGACCAATTTTTTTCTAATCTTTTCATCAATTTTGAAGATTAATGTCACTGTTGTGCCATATTTTCCCCAGTTGATGACTGTCTTCACTGTGTTCCATGGTATATCTAACACCTTGGAAATTCTTTTGTACCCTTCTCCTGACGTGGTGGTGCTGCATGCTAAACCACAGAAGCCTCTGTGCTGCAAGGTCAGAAGATGAGCAGTCGTAAGATCGAATCCACGCGATGGAGTGAGGTCCTGTAGCTTTGTCCCAGCTCCTTGCAAACCTAGCAGTTCGAAAGCATGCAAATGCGAGTAGATAAATAGGTACCACCTCGGTGGGAAGGCAATGGTGTTCCCTAGTCATGTTGGCCACGTGACAAGGGAAACTGTCTTCGGACAAGCGCTGGCTCTGCAGCTTGAAAACGGGATGAGCACCGCTCCTTAGAGTCTGAAACGACTGGACTAAGAATGTCAAGGGGAACCTTTACCTTTACCTGACTGATACCTTTTAACAATGAGATCCCTCTGATGCTTTGGTAGCTGTCTGTGGAACATGGCTTCTGCTGTAGGATGTGACTAAGAAAATGTCAGGAAAGACCTACTAGCACAGCTGATCTTTATTTGGGATTCCTCAGAGGCACTTTAAATGATAGCAGGGGTGTACTGACTCCTACCATGTTTCTCTGAAAATAAGACAGGGCCTTATATTAATTTTTGCTCCAAAAATGCATTAGGGGTTATTTTAAGGGGATGTTTTATTTTACAGTCATGCCATCTTCTTCTGGTTGCTATACAATGGTGGAGGGTGGGGTTTCACAGGGCTTATTTTTGGGGTAGGGCTTATATTACGGGCATCCTGAAATTTTTACTTCCCTCCACCTAAAAGATTCCAGTTTGTTGTTGAACTGAGTTGTATGGTTCATAGGTCTCATTAAAGGTGGGAAAAGTCCTGAAATGATTTATCTTTGTCTCATTTTTTAACATCACAGACACTTGACATTTTAACCAGGGTGTGTAAACTTTTTATATCCACTGTACAGAACCTGGTATGCCACTTCAAGCATTTTGGAGGAAAAGCAGGTTAGAAAAGTAACCACAGATAAAAATTGGCATGTGTGTAAGCATTCTACCTTTGCTAGATCACAGCACAGTTTTCCCCTCGCATTTCAAGGCTGGCCATGAAGATGTTCCTAGGGCATAATTAGAAGTGATCATTAAGCCGCTGCGGCAACACGTCCCCCAGCGAGCTCCACTCTGGTGGCCATCATCAACTGAAGCAACCCACCGAGCGAACGACCGTCCCGCCGGCAACAGCGGCGACCCCAGCCGAGGGCGACGGCGCTTACAGAATCCGCCCTCTCGGTGGTCTTTGCTATCGCAACCGGATCTCCGCCACCTCCTTCCCCGTAAACATCAACCATTCCCAGGCGTTCCCAGCGGAGCATTTCGCACGTCTGCATCATCTGCCCTTTGCAGGATGCGCAGCTCCGACAGCAAACATGCAGCGAAGACACCCTCCGCCACGGACGAGCGGAGAACCGCTACACGACCAAGCCTGCCTGCGTCCTCTCTTCCGCCCTTGAGAGCCTCAGACACGCATTGTTCGACTGTCCCCACGTTACACTCAAAGAGATCGTCCTTCCCCCGACTCCCCCTTTGAACATTTCTACATACCAAATGCCTAGCCTGAGCTGGTGCCTCTTTAAAGAGACCAATCTTCTGCAAAATTAATTTTCTAAAGCAGCACAGATTCTCATGCCAAAACGTATCACCGCAACCGTAGCAAAAAAAAGTCATACCAGGTAACACCCATGCTTCCAATGGTCGCCACGTGGGGCTGAGCTCCTTCCGACAGAATAAGCGATCACGACTCCAATTTTGTTTTATTTCAAGTCGGCAACGACTGGTGCTGTTTTTGCAGAGGTGGGGAACTAGTGGGGGTCTGTCTGTCTGCGTCCTGGCCAGAACACCAGCCGCTGGCCTCCCTTCAGACGACCTCTCCTCCCTCTGAGGAAAACAAAAAGGAAGTGATGTAACAGAGTAAGATAATCCGGCTCAAAAACAGCCTCCTAGTGTTCCAAACGGGTAACGCAGAACCATCTCCACGACTGGGTGTGTTGTTTGCTCGGATTTTATTCAGAGTTCTTGATACTGTACTTATTTAGTTCATAATGCGAATAAGTGATCAGAAGTGGGCGCCGGAAGCAGTAAAACACACTACTGATAACTGTAAGAAATTAAAACGACAGTATTAGGGAAGGAGGCAGTTGTTGTTCTCGTTCTTTCTTTTCTAACAATGATAGCTGGGGAATTCGTAAGTAGATACAAAATTATTGGTACAGTAATATTTTTGTTGGGTCAGTACAAATAAAGGCGAGCTTTTGAGCTCTGCAGAACCTTTCTTCAAGCTTAGAAGGTATAAAATTTGGGATGAGGAATATATTTTGGATTTTATACTATCCAAGCCTGAAGAACTCAAAAAACACCTTGATTGTAAGTTTTTTGGGATCCAATAAAGATACTACTCAATACAATCATGTAAAAATCGATTAATGCCCAGCACAGATTTATTCCAGTTTCAATACCTTTTCTTTTTTAAAATTTCAGTGTGAAGGGAGACCTACCCGTAGAACTCAGTGAGACCACAACAGTGACGTCAGGACAACTGTGATTGGATATCATTAGTTGTCTCACTAAAATGTAGTGCAAGGAATTATTGCCCTTTTTACTTCTGGTTGTACATTGTGTCAAAAACTTTTATTTTATAAGTGCTGGTATTAGACACTTGCAATACAATTGCACTGGAAATGGATGTAAGTTCTATTGAACTCAACAAGACTTGCTACCTGATATAAGTCATGTCATTGTAGGCCTCCAAGCACATCAGCACCAGCCTTATGTGCGTAGTTAAGCTCTGGATTTGAGCTAGGATGGAAAAGCCAGACGTAAACAGATGTTTGCTGTGATTCGAGTGATATCTTGCATAGCCCATCTGTGGTTGGAAAATCCAAGAGAATAAACTACGTCTTGTCTCTCTCTAGTGTTCATACCAGACTGTAAAACAGGGATATTAAACAGTGTTCCCTGAGCTTCAGCAGTAAGGGTACAGTATTGCATCTAGCAAACGCTGGTCAACTATGACCCGATTTAGTGTGAGGGCAGGAAGAGAAGGGGACGCCAGAGGATGAGATGGTTGGACAGTGTAATCAAAGCTACCAACATGAATTTGACCAAACTCCAGGAGGCAGTGGAAGACAGGAGGGCCTGATGTGCTCTGGTTCATGGGGTCATGAAGAGTCAGACACTACTAAACAATAACAAAAATGGGGGTTTCATGGTAAGAGAGTCTTTAAGGAGTAGTTGCATCAGTGCCACCCCCACCTCAGTGTGTTTTCATGGCCTAATAGGGAGGGATTCAAATCAAGATCTCCTGAGCCCTAATCTTTCATTCTATCCATTACAACACACTGGGCAAGTATCAGCGAACTGTATAGGGTTGTAAACCATGCAGCTTCAACCTGCACTGGATTGCATGGAAAAAGTGCTGCTGTAAGCTGTTTTCTCAAGATTTTTACTTGAGATCTTTAACACACAGTGGAAGAATAACGCCAGGGCTTTTTTCACAATGCTTTCTGAGGCAGAGAATATTTCCTTAAAATAAGATTGGAGTTTTAAAAAAAATCAGGAAATCTCCTTGGTGCTACGTTTTGTTTCCGGGGGACATAAAACTGTAACACAAGTCAACAACCATGATAAAATCTTGGATGTCCTCCATCGATCGCTCTGTGGAGCTTTCGTTTCCATCCCAGGATGATCATTTTGAAATACTGTAGTTGGAGAACTCGGAAGCCATTCGTTTCAGCAGTTGAGAGGCGTCTCTCTCATGTTTTGTCTCTGTAGTCGCCTTGTAACTCTGCCGTCTCACGGGACGTTCGACGCATGCGCCTTTGAGCGGCACTTTTCCACGTGGGTGCCAGTCGTTCGCGGTCGGCGATCATGCCGAAAGTGAAGCGGGCGAGAGGCTCCGGCGGAGCGGGAGCGACGGGGAACGTGTCGCTGGCTGAGCAGATCATCCAGAGCGATTCGGTAAAGCCCATTACGCGGGTCAAACGACGCGGAAAGGCCGGCAAGCAGGGCGGCGGCGATGGAGACACGGACGACTACGTGGATGAGAAGCTCTCGCGAAGGATCCTGGAGCAGGCGCGGATCCAGCAAGAGGAGCTGGAGGCCGAGCACGGCCCTGCCGGAGGTGACGAGCCCAAGAAGAGGACGACTGTCCTGGGTGAGTGTGAGGGCGGCTGGAGCAGAGCCGTCACCTTCCGGCAGCCCCCGAGCAAGTCCATGCGCTTCAGATGGGCTGGGTTACATACAGCTATCACCATACTGTACTCACACCCTCACAAAGCCAGCACAAACATGACCAACGGGCCAACTACAGTATTACGCGCTATCAAGTCTGAACCGATCCCTAAGGACCCTTACAGTACAGGGTTTTCAGGGTAGGTCGTTTTACCAGTGAGGGTGTCTCCGGAGTCCTACTCACCACTCTATCCATTACACCGTACTGGGTACACACTACACACAATAGTATAGAGATACACACTACATAGTATATGGAACAATGTAAAAGTCAGTAGTATATAAATACTGTATGTTTGTATGTGTATATGTGTTGTATATATGACCCTGATGTTGGGCAAGAGGAGGAGGGGACGACAGAGGACAAGATGGTTGGACAGTGTCACCGAAGCTACCAACATGAATTTGACCCAACTCTGGGAGGCAGTGGAGGACAGGAGGGCCTGGCGTGCTCTGGTCCATGGGGTCACAAAGAGTCAGACACAACTTGACAACAAAACAACAAAAACAACATATGTATATATAATTATTGTCAAGTCAGAACCTGACTTATGATTACCATAATAGGGTTTCAAGGTAAGTGTGGTATAGGAGGAGAGGTTTTACCAGTTTCACTCCCCACTGGGTTTCCATGGCAGAGCTAGGGAATCAGACCGAGGTCTCCATTACCCTATCCACTAAATCACACTGGGAACCGTATATAGTTGTAGCTCTATATATTTTAGTGGAACATCTTCAGGAAAGTCTGGAATAGGTCTTAGTACAAGTCCTGGAGAGGAACTTCAGTCAGCAGAGAATACTAAGATAGAAACTTCCATGTTTTGGTTTGCTGCAAGGTGCTTCCCAGGGTCCTGCCAGGACCTCCTTTCAGGTCCGAGCCTTCATCAAGAAATGTTGATAAACATGGCCATTGTCCAAGGCCTAGTTGTGATTGACCTTTCCATGGTCACAGTGTTTCCACTGGTTAAGTTATTTTAGCTCCTGGGGGAGAAGATCATGCATGTACTTATTTCCCTCCTGATAGTAATACATTTAATAACTAACCATTTGCTGCCATTTAGTAGCACCCCAGATCAGCTGCTTCAGTTGGTCATGTTAGACCGTTGGACCAGCCTTGCCCAAGTGCATTGGTTCCCAACCTTGGGTAACCTAGAACTGAATTGCAACTCCCAGAATCCCTGGCCAGCGCAAATGAAGGCTTCTGAGAGTTGCAGTCCACTAATAGGTTGGGAACCACTGCCCTAGCGAATGGGGGAATGGGCCTTTCTCCAGCACCTTCATAATTGCTCTGATATTCAGAGGTGCTTAATGTTTTGTTTGTGTGGGGAATTTCTGATGATTTTTTTTGGAGGTGCTTACAACTAAGTAATAATATAAACAATAAAATAGAATTGTAACATAACACGGGAAAGCCTTGAAATAAAATGTATCAGTGCTACATTAAATTTTTTTTAAAAAATGGACAAACTCAAAGGCTGTGCTGTAATGGATAAAGACACTGTTTACATGAGAACGTAGGTGTACAGTATGGCTGGGAAAGGGATCTTTCTTTCCCTCTGCAGCCTCTAGAGCAGTGGTTCTTAACCTTTGTTACTCGGATGCTTTTGAACTGCAACTCCCAGAAACCCCAGTCAGGACAGCTGGTGGTGAAGGCTTCTGGGAGTTGCAGTCCAAAACTCCTGAGTAACCCAAGGTTAAGAACCAGTGCTCTAGAGCACTCCCTGTACTTGAAACCTGAGGAACCTTCTGGAGCTGATTTTATGTGGTTCCTAGAGCTGCAAAGGGGAAGGGAAGGAGGTTCTCTGACACAACACTAACATCACTGCACTAGCTGGCCCTTGTGAAGAAGATGCCAGTGATTCTCATTGCTATCTCACTTCAAAATGGGTAGTGGAATTTAGAGCAGGCGGTCAGAAGCTGATATTTACCCTTGGCCAGGTCCCATTTTGAGTGGAAAGAAAAGACAGTTGCTTTTGCCTAACCAGGGGCATCCAACCATTGGGACTGGCAAGCCTATTGGACTAAAAATCACGTGTGAGGTTTTGCCCCACTGAATCAGAGAATGAGGAAGGGGATTTGAAGAAGCCTCTTTTCTGGCCTCTTCCCAGCTTGCTGCCATTTGATACCAAGAAAGACAGTGTTTCCTCAAGGAAATTGCTTGCTGTGCTTCAATATGAAGGTCTAAATGTTGTCCTTACTTTTTCCAGGGCCTGTCTCAAAAGATGGAGATTCTGATGATGATGATGATGAGTGGCCATTACTGGAGAGAGCTGCAGCCCTGGAGAAGGGAGAATGCTGTGAGGAGGTTACTGTGAATCCAGAGGATGAAAAGGCCATTGAGATGTTCATGAACAAAAATCCACCAGTGAGGTAAATCTCAGAAGACAGATCCTGGCTTTTTCTTAAAATGTCACCATCTGCAGGAAAAGTGCCTGTCTGAATGAGTCTTGTTTTGTTACTGCAATTAGACCAAAAATGAAAGACACACACTCTTGTGTGGAAGGTGGTCTCCAGTGTGCCTTTTCCTTTATATGAATGTGTAACATCCTATTTAGGACAGTTAACATCCTATATAGGACAGATCTCTAGTTTAAATTTTTTGCTTGATTTTTATTTTACCCTTCACCACAAGAGCCCCAGCTAAAAAAATATAGCTGTAAAATAACAAAATATAAATAAAATAGCAGAGTGCATGTAATGAAAATGAACAGCAAATCAAAATAAAAGAGTTACATATATTTTGAAGAAGGGAGTTATTTATTATTAAATATGTTTATTAAAAGAATTGTTTCCTTCACTGAGGACTTAAAACTTGTCATGTTATTGCAGGGCTCCTAGGTCTGTCAACTTTTAGACTCCTAAATGCCTCATATTTTTCGAGGCTTTATCATGTGCTCCTCACCCAGCCTATTTCCCTCCGCCCACTCCCAGTGAAAAGTCAGCTCTCTTAAGTGAACTACCTGTCTTCTATCAGTTAGCTGAAAGAAGTCACATAGTTGCTTTTTTGATTCAAGGAAAGCCACATTATATGACAGCTTGGCCCATTTCACCCTTGTCAGTCACTGAATACCTTCCTTATGATCATTCTTAACAGTTGTGCACTTGTGATACATGAAGAGGGTCCTATGTAAGGTGGTAGTGGTCTTACATGTGATGCAAGATTATCAGCAATTTCTTGGTACCGTTTTCTGGAGACACTGGTGTCACATAAATGGTTTTGACTTCACATTGCCATATTTCTGTGTCAGAAAAGCTGTCCATTTTTCCAAGTGCTTAGTAGGCAGAGAAAGAACACAAAGAAGCAATCTTGCATGCATATTATACCCATCAGCAGACCCTTAAAGGATATTTAATTCAAGCATGACATGATGACTGGGCTTAAGGAAAACGAATGCAGAGCATTGTCATGGATTCCTCAGATCCTCAAGAATGAAAGAAAGAAAGCCATGCTGCATCCAGCAGCAGGATATGTTTTGGTTTTCATTCATGTTTTCTCAGCCATTAGACAGTGATTTCAGTACCTAATAAGCCATATTACTGTTGATATGGGTCACTAGAGGTCCCAGTCTCAACCTGTTTTTTTCAGCATTATGCAGACACCTCAAAATGATAATACAGTATTCTGTCTCTGCAAACTGCAGCAGAGGACAGAAACTTAGGGACTGCAGATTGCTTCTATTTTATTAATTTATTTCTAACTACAGTAACTCATTTTTATTCCTCGTATGCAAAAATATGTCTTTGCACAGTATAGAATGAGGCTAGCCTCTGTCTTTGGCATCATGTATTTGTAAATAAGCATTAAAAATAATGTATTAGAATGCTCATTTTTACAACTTTCCAAGAGCTGCCTACTCTGGCTTATGTATCAGAAGTAATGCAAATGGCATACCAAAAAATGCAGCAGTTCCTGTGTCTGTAGGTTTGCTGACCATTTTCCTAGAGCAAACATGTTTGATGGTGGTATTAAGGACATTATCATCTTGTTTGTGTCCACTGTAGTCTTTTGAATTGCTTTACCCCATATGATTATCCCTGTTTAGAGAAGAAGACTAACTGAGCATTTATCCTACCTAGTTCGACAGCAGAGAAGCAATCTATCCAATTGCTACCTTTGCTTCTTGTTTTGCTGAGGAGAGAGTTTTGAAATTCTTCACTTCATTTTGTTTCCTTTTCCTTATTTTGTTTCCATTAGACGCACCTTGGCAGACATTATCATGGAGAAGATTACAGAGAAACAGACAGAGGTGGAGACTGTAATGTCTGAAATATCTGGTTGCCTCATGCCACAGCTCAACCCTCGTGTCCTAGAAGTCTACAAGGGTGTCAGAGAGGTAAAGAGCAATACTAGTTTTTGTGCAAAATGTATGTATTTTCTCTCTCTGTATTATGCTCACATGTCTCTCCTCTGTGTGTGTGTGTGTGTGTGTGTGTGTGCGCGTGTGCGTGCGTGCGTGCGTGCGTGCGTGCCTGTGATCCTAAAGCCAAGAGCCGTAAACCCTAGAAATCATAATTCTTGTACTACTATTGCCTTTTGCTGATGTACTGCTGCAGTGGCTTAGGGGAAAATAGTTCTTACTGTGTGCTGCCCTGATGTTGCATTTTAAGAAAACGTGTTAGATCTGAATGTTAATGGGTTTGTACTAATGCTTGAGGAAATCTCTGAATGGTACTGAAAGTATTTTCATAAAAGCCCTTGTGAACAGTTAATAGAAGTCTAAAGCAATTTTGCTGATCTGTCCCTGGTTTTCAACTATATCTGAATCTTTTTGAAGGTGCTGTCAAAATACAGGAGTGGAAAATTACCCAAAGCATTCAAGATTATCCCAGCATTGTCCAACTGGGAGCAGATCCTTTATATCACAGAGCCGGAAACGTGGACAGCAGCTGCCATGTACCAGGCAACAAGGTGGGATGCTCTGTGTGACTGTTATTTACGACAGTGCCATTGCTCTTCCCGCTTCTCATCCCACAGACTGTCGCTATTCGTTTGAGTCTCACCTTTCTTGCAACACAAGGTAGGATGCTCTGTGTGACTCTGTTATTTACGACAGTGCCGTTGCTCTTCCCTCTCCTCATCCCACAAACTGTCACTATTCGTTTGAGTCTCACCTTTCTTGCAACATCTGATGTTCATTCCTTGTTCTCCTACATGGTGCTTTGGTTCCTCTTCCTTTTCGCTGCAGACACAGTGCACATGTAATTTGCTGAAAATCACTGCCATTGCAAAGATTAATACAATGGTGCCTCGCTTGACGACGTTAATCCGTTCCAGCGAAATTGCTGTAGAACGAAATCTTCGTCAAGCGAAATAAAAAAGCCAATTGAAATGCATTGAAAACTGTTCAATGCGTTCCAATGGGCGAAATACCTGCTCGTCCAGCGAAGATCCTCCATAGGGCAGCCACTTTCTCCTCCCTGTATTGCGAAAAAGCGGTCCTAATAACAGCGGGGAGCCATTTTGCACAGCGGGCGGCCATTTTGGAAACCCGACAATCAGCTGTTTTGATAGTAGTAAAGCGAAAAATCGGTTCCCTAAGCAGGGAACCGATCATCATAAAGCAGTTTTTTCCCATTAGAACATCATTTTGCTATCGCAAAAACCTAATCGGCAAGCGGATTTGTCATTTAACGAGGTAATTGTTAAGCGAGGCACCATTGTATTCTGTTAGATAGATGGTCAGTGTGATTTTCTCCCTGGAATCTCATATAAAATGTTATGAGCGCCAAAGATGCTTAGGATGTGGCTTTTATGCTGCGTCCAACTGACATTTTATTATTTATTATTTATTTATTTATTGAATGTATATGCCGCCCACTCTACGCAGAGGTCTCTGGGCGGCATACAATAATTAAAATTCAATACAATAAAATTAAAATACAATTAAAATACAATTAAAATTTCCATCATCAGGACCCACATTCTAATTGTTTGGGATTCTAATTTTGCTTGATATTATTAAATTTCCTTATTTTACCTGTTGAAGGACGGTATAGAAATTTTGCAAATAAAATAGTCTGCACACTGGTGAACTTCAGTGTCTAAATTTGGAAGATGTCTGCGCACGGGTGAACTTCAGTGTCTAAATTTGGAAGATGCCATTTGTATGCTGCAGTGATTACATGTCATGTATGGTGTCTGTACAAGGGAGTACTCTGCTCCTCAGTTAGGCTAATAAGTTGTTTCCTTCTTCATCCTGATATCTTTGCTTCTCATCCTAGAATTTTCTCATCAAATCTCAAAGAGAGGATGGCCCAGAGGTTCTACAATCTGGTGCTTCTTCCACGCATTAGAGATGACATTGCAGAATACAAACGTCTCAATTTCCATCTCTATATGGCATTAAAAAAGGCTTTGTTCAAGCCTGGAGCTTGGTTCAAAGGTAAGAGGAAAGCTGAAACTTAAATGATAGCAACTTAGCATGTAGAATTATTTCTGGATTCTGTTATTTCATTATATTTGTGTAGTTAGTAGCATTTCAATTTCAAGAGCTTTCTTTTGTACAAGTGTTTGGTTTAGATTTGTTATATTTTGTCAGTATGACTGCTTCCATGTTTTCTGCTGCTAAAGGAAGATAGCTCTGGTAGAATAGGACCAATCACATTTTTTAAAAAAATGGGCATTTCCATTTTGCTCTTCAAATAAAAAGGATGCCCAAATCATTTTACACAAAGTATAGTAATAAAGCCACTTTCTGCCATGCACTTTAAAAGGCAGTAGATGGAAGGAAAAGGAATTGGAAGCAAACTCGGATGTTAGTTCTTAAGTTACTGAGTCTTTATGTGCTGGAACAGAAACAGGATTGGAGGAAGCTAAAGGAGCTGGTCTCAGAAGAGCTGACGGAATGCCCTTGTTTCCCATCTCCACCTCTGCTGTGGCCTAACAGAATGGCTTGTGCCTGGTTAAAGATGACAGAAGGAGAAGCTTGGGTGAATTAAGTGACTTAATTCGGTCGAGATGGAACCACAAGAAGATGCTTTCTGATGCACATTGACAGAAACGTTGATGTACAGTTTTAAGTAGATTAAACTAGGGATAGGTCAGGACTGGTACATGCTTTGCTACAAGGTAAGGTGGCAGTAGTGAGCCTTGATGTATGGAGGGGACTGCAGATCGCTGTATTTGAGTAGGAGTAGAAGACTGTGCATGCTGGCAGACTGATCATAACAATAAGCTGGCTAAGGTGGGTTTGAAGTACAGGACTGAGTACCAAAAGGGTGAAGGAGAGGAGATAAGAGGAGAAGAGTGAGTATGGAACAAAATTATAGTAAAAAATGTGCAGAAAGAAAAGAATGTGGATTAGAACTGGAGAAATTCAACTGTCGCTGAAAACCTCCCTTGCCCTGCCACTTACTTCATGCAGCCTGTAATCCAATGGCAGTCTTTTCTCTGACTCCAGTAGTGAAAGTGAACCCATCTGGAAGCAACACATCGGGGAAAGGTGCTGCGGGGTGATAAGAGACAGGTGCAAAGTAAGAATTCAGCACCTCTTACCCATGTTGCCTCATTGGTTCTGTTCCATTCCTGCCAAGAGGTAACTTTATACTTAAAGAGATGAGTCTGCTGTGGTTGTGTCTAGTTTCATCCTGAATGAGTTTGGGTGAGTCTCATGATAGCATTCTTAAATTTGCTATATTGCAATGTTAAACAACATGCTGGTGTATGTATGCCACACCAGCAGTGTACCTGAATGCATTGCATATCTCTGTGATTTCTGGTTAGTCATCCTTTAAAATAGAGAGCAAAAGCTAAAATTTATCTTAAAATTTATATCAGAGTAGCTCAGATCAGGCACTGGAAATACTTAACTTAAACTAATGTAAAGTTTCACAGCTCGCCTCCCTCCAGGTTCCGAGATTCCCTAGAGTTCCCTTTTGCCTGTGGATAGTCAAAGGACACTGCCAGTTGTCCTGGTCCCACCAGCAGTGATTTTCTTTTCTTTCTTTTTTCTTTTTCTTTTTTCTTTTTTTCTTTTTGCTATTAAAGGCTCCAACCCGCATCCTGAGACCCTCCAAAAGCTTCCCCAGGGCAAAAGGGATGCTTAGGACCCTTAGAACCAGAAATGGCAGGATGGGAAGCTTTCTGTTAGTTTAAATTAAACATTTCCATTTGCCAATCTAAATTTATGCCAGCAGGATTTTCCCCATTGAAAGTTAAATGATCTTGTTGCTCTGGACTTATTTATTTTTAAAATGGTTTGAACTGTTGATGCTGTCCTTTATGTGTTTTGATAGGGATGGCTTTATAATCCTTCCTCCTTTCCCCCTAGGAATCCTCCTTCCCTTGTGCGAGTCAGGGACATGCACGCTTCGGGAAGCAATCATTATTGGCAGCATCCTCACCAAGTGTTCTATCCCTGTTCTTCATTCTGGGTAAGGAGCGCTGGGCTAATCTGAGGGCAGGAAGGCAAGTGCATTAGAATGGGAGGGAGCAGATACCAGTTTCTCCTATGCTTATGTGTGTTTGTTCCTGATGGAATGTTCTCCGAAGTCTAGCTGGATGGAGGGTGTCTCTGGTGTCAACAAAGAAACAACCAGCTCAGGAGTACCTGCTAGACTGAAACTTTGCCTTATTTGTCTGCATCAGGGGAATGGAACTCTCTGGACAGTGAGCCTGTTCTGGCTTGCCAGGGTCCCTCGTCCAGTCCGCAGAGGTTACGTAAAGTCCTGTTCCCTCAGAAGAGAGAGTAGGTCTAGATAGGACCTCTGTGACTTGGAATTAGCTTATCTTCCTTGTGCTGGGAAGGTGAGTGGAGAGCACAGCGCCTTCTGCTGGCACTCTGCTGGCATCTCTACCTGATTGCATCTTTCTCTCCAAATAAGGAAGATGAATGGTCAATTAAGCCAGAACTACCTTGAACAGATCACCAAAGAACCACTGTTATTAAGGGATAGAGTGATGCTTTCTGACATCATCTGGCCCATATATAGGGGTGGGGATCTGGTCTGTTCTATCACACTGTTTCCCTACCCTTGCTTTTCCTATCCTTCCTCAGTGCCCAGAAGTGCTACGTAAGTCATACTTCGGGTTTAGGCCACATATGTTTTCTCATAATGATATTTATTGGGGAACAATAACAGGAAAAGCAGCTCGAAATAGGTGATGGGAGAAGCTTCAGATGCTTGACCTGTGCAAAGTAGGCTACTGCCAAAGACATGAGAGTACAGTGAGCAAAGAAGTGGGCAGGCCTCATTGTGGCTATTTGTACATTCAGTGACAAGACTGAACTGCCATTTCTGGTGCTTGTTAGGCTAGCCATTTCCCTGGGTGCATTCTCCTCATTGCTTCCTCATTGTTACAAAGGCAAGCTCCATCTTTCAAAGCAAACATGAACCCTGTGTTCATTTCTCTGAGCTAGTATTTGCATCATACTTCCCCAATGGACACTTTTGGCCCCTTGTATCTTCCTTTTGGCCATTGGCATATTGTTCAATGTTCAAAACCTCACTTGTCTCTTCTTCCTCTCACACTGACAGGGCCGCGATGCTAAAGATTGCTGAGATGGAGTACAGTGGTGCCAACAGCATCTTCCTCCGTCTGCTCATTGACAAGAAATATGCCTTGCCTTTCCGTGTTGTGGATGCCTTGGTCTTTCACTTCTTATCCTTCCGGGCAGACCAGCGCACCCTCCCTGTCCTCTGGCACCAGTGTTTCTTGACCTTTGTGCAGCGCTACAAGGAGGATTTGTCCTCTGAGCAGAAAGAGGCCCTGTTGGAGTTGCTCAAGTGTCACAGCCATGCTCAGATCTCTCCAGAGATTCGTAGGGAGCTAGTGAACTCCAAGTGTCGGGATGTGGAGGGGATGCAGCCGGTAGCCATGGACTGAATGAAAGAGATGGACGCCGTATATTGGACGTATCCAGTTCTGCTCAAAATGGAACTCTGTTAAGCAGCAGCTACTTTATTTTTGAGGCTAAAACGCAGTGTAAATTGAACGGAGGCTTGTGCTTCTCTCCATTTTGAGATTGGCAAGTTGCCTTTGTGCACAGGTGGAAGTATTTATAATTGTTTCCTTTAAACAGACCTGCACTCTTTGCGACTCAGATCTGTTTGAAAGGCTGGTATCCAGCCTGTGATGATTAAATCTTTTCATGGTAGAATTGTAATGTTCACCGAGATCGCTACTGCCAGAAAGCACTATAATATCCTCTGCCTCTTGAAGGTTCTGGACAAAAGATGTTAATAAACAATGGCAAGATCAATTTGTTGGGCAGCAGATTAGTGGGAGGTAAAGCATGCATCAGGTAGATATGAGGAGTCTGGAAATCTGCAGCAGATTTCTTTGGTAGATCTGAAATCTAAAGTGGGTCTTCATAATCATGTTTGAACCTGGAAGTAATACAGTACACGTATGTGTAAATCTGTATCTGTGTTATGTGACACAGTACATTTCAAAATTATGAGGACATAGCACTGTTATTTTAATAATAATAATAAAATCACTGAAATTTTGTTAGTCACAAATAACAGAGGAAGAAAAAGAGAGACAAGAAGGGACCTTTTTGACTGCACACCCTGTCCTGCACCCCTGCCTCCCTTCCTCTCTAAGAACTCAACTCAGTGCCATTAACCCTTGCTGAGAAAGTGAAGTACAACTAGAAACCCGTTAGCTTCATCATAAGCATGTGGATAGAAATCCCAAGTTGGTTGAAGCCTGACAATACCCCCCCCAAAACACTTTATGATCCCCTTGGTGGTCACAACCCACAGGTTGGGAACCCATGTTCGAGAACAGTGGTGGCGAACCTTTTTGAGCCCGAGTGCCCAAACTGAAAGAGGGAAAGAAAAACAAACCCAGCAGGCGGTGGTGGAATGGGGCAGAACTGGAAGTGGCAGTGGAAGGGGGAATCCCGGGCACGGAGGTGCCTCAAGACCCCACTCTGGATCCGCCACCAGCACCAGCTGCTCTGGATCCTGGCCCGCTGCCTGTAGAACCCTGCGGGTGTAGCCGCTTGCTGGGGTTTGGCTGGGGGGGGGGAGTAGCGATCCAGTGACTTGTGTCTCGCGTGCCTGCAGAAAGGGTTCGGTGGGCCAGCTATGCCACACGTGCCATAGGTTTGCCATCGCTGTACTAGAACTTCAGATCTCGTGGTTCCTCTACTCCATCCACTTAAGTGTTGCATGTCTAATAATTACAAATTGTGCTATTCTCCCCCCAAATGGTTTGTAAAACAGGCTGCAGTTCAAGCCAAAGGAATGTTAAGCATTGTGTATTGCAGAATTCAAGGCTTTCCATTGACTGCTTTAAATGGCTGCAGATGACAACAAGTGGTGTGCTGACATGCTGGTTCTCGCAATTGCTTCTTCCCACATTGTACGTTGCTCTTTCTTGAAGCTTTTAGCCTGCTTTTGTTAGCTTGATTAACAAGGATGTGAGGCTATCAAGGCGCCCCCTTTTGCCTCTTGGCAGGGAATTAGCACAACAGCAGTTCCTGGGCTTTTTGGTGGCAGGGCAGACGGCTTTAATATGTTTTGTATTTCAGTCCCCTAGTGTCTCTGCCCATGCACCACGCAGAACCCCGTCCTTCTCCGTCTGAGCTGCAGGCAAGCTCAGTGCTGTTCCTGCAGCAGCTGGAAAGGGAACAGTAATTGGCTTGTACAGGTTTTAGCTCCAAGGGAGGTGCGGTTGAGTGGCTCCTCTGAGTGTGGCAGGTTTGTTTGTGCTGGGAGAGGTCCCCCAGGACAACCACTTGGTAGAGCACAGTTTACTGAGCAATTTGCACGTTGCCCCTCTCTCTGCTTGGCAGCGTTTAGCTGAGGTGATTATGAGCAAAAGCTGTTAATTCCAAACCAGGCTGGTCAATTAGTCTGCTGAAGCAGCCTACAGCCTTTAGGTGGGCAGAGATCTTCCGTGCTGATGCCTAATAGCATGTTGCTAAGAAGACCAGGGCTCAGAGTGGGGAGAGCCATGAACTCAAGCCAGGGGTAGGCCAGCTGGCCAGCATGTATCCCTGCTGGTCGGATGGCTTTGGGTAGACAGTTGTACAATACGGTGGGTTGTAGGCCAGCTGCCTCAGTGCCTCTTGCAGTCACTGCCTTCCATCTGTATTGCCTCCTTCATAATCCTGTTAAAAAGAAGATGTGTGGTTGAGTAACTTGTGAATGGGATCAAAAACACCTTAATACTGTACCTTTCTTGCACATCCCAGTAAGAGCTTGGCACCCTACTGTCACGTTCCTTTTGTGGTACCACTTTCTTCTGTGAAATCCCCTTGACTGCTCCCTGCTGTCTTTTCCTCACCAACCATATTACTATAGTCCTTCTCAAACACACTTTCCTAGAACTGAAGGGAAAAAAAACGATTAGTTGAGACGGTTCCTTAGAAAAGGCACTTAGGATGCAGTTGGCAGCACTCTAAGCACGAATTGGACTCTGTGCAATGGCCCACTTAGGGCTGGATCTTTCGCCCCAGATCCTCTCCTTGCTTCCCGTTCCAAAAATATGTGGTAAAGCCAGCAGCAAGCAAGTCTAGCACCTGGTCCTGGGGTCCACTGGGCCAACATCTTCTTGCTGCAGTATCCTCATTTTAAAAATCATTTGGAAATCTCAGATATTGTGGGGTGGGGTACCTATCTAGAACGCCAGAGTCACAGTAAACCTCTGTAACTGTTTCAACCACAGGATGCGACATGGATAATTAATGTCCACTGCAGAGTTTGGAAAAATAATTGTTTTTGAACAATTTTCACAACATGGTCATGCTGACTGGGAGATTCTGAGAACTGTAGCGATAGAGTGACTTTCTCAAGCTCAATTCCAATGTTATGAGCTTTCGAAGTAATGTACAAGGATGAATGTGCACATCACCCCTTTAGTAAGGCCAGGCCCTGAATCTTTCTAGCTACACCATTGTGAGCAGATGTAAAGATGTGTCCAAGGCTGTCACCACATGGTAAAAAGAGGTACAGGAGAAGGCAAGGACTTCTCTCTAGGCACACAGCTTACCTTAAGGAAGTTGCATCCATGCTCTTTACTCAATTTTCACAAATCTATGGTGACTTAGACAAATATTGGGCTGCTTTTCACCTGAGCCAGATGGTCGGTGTTTGCAAATACCGGTGGTGTTGGCCATAAACCTCGTGTTGTTATGCTGGTGTAACACAAGTGGTGTGATGGTTTGGTGGAGTGCCTCAAGAAATCACTGTAGACCTGACTTCTTGTGTACAGGGTTCTGGGAACAGAGAATATACGTTAAAACATTTTACTAGTTTATTTCACTTAGCGGATGACTATCTTGACCCTGCGTACAGCAAAGTTTGTAAAGGGTCAAAAGCAGCTATGCTAGCTGGGAATCAGCAAGTTGCAATCCAAAAAAAGAGTAACTTTTCCTGACTGGGCTAGAATGTTGGGATTCTGACAGCCCAGTTCAGGCGTAAAAGCGAGGTGCTGCGATAGCCCTCTATCACAGTTTTGGTCAATACGTATTGTTCTCAGACCCAGCTAGAATCACACAGCATACCAGATGCGCCCTAAGATGGTGAGTGGCATATTGCAAAGGAGTATCATCCCTGAAGTCCTTCTCATGCAGAAGGCCAATTGTGGTGGCTATATTCTTGACAAGAATCAAAATGAAATATGGACTTTTTACCATCTTAATACTTTATATCAAATTTCTGCAATTCAGTGTGAAATGTGAATTCTTTTCCACAGTGCACTTCAGTGTTCTGCACAAAGAACTCAAAATTACTCATCAGGTGACAAAAGATGACTACTCAGAACTTCATGGTGCAGTGGTTAAACTGCAATGAAGACTCTGCTCACAATCTGAGTTCGATCCCAGACTCGGGTAGCTGGCTCGAGGTTCATTTATCCTTCAATCCTTCTGAAGCCAGTAAATTTGAGTACCCAGCTCGCACTGGGATGGGCAATGTGTGGCCTGCACAATTAAATTATAAACTGTCCACAGAGTGCTTTAAGCATTATAGGGCAGTATATAAGCAGCACGCTTTGCAACCATTTTCAAGACTTTATAATTTATAACAAAGAGTGATCCCTTACCATTGGTCACACTGCCTGGGGCTGGTGGGGAGTAAAGTCCAACATCATTTGGAAAATCATCTTTCTCCTACCCATTTAAGAGCTGGTGCTGTATAACCTGCTCTTGGTACCTGATCCAGCCACTACATTTTATGTTACGCTGTACTGTATATCTTTCAGCACTCATTTTTTTAAAAATTATTATGTTCCATCAAGTTGATTCTGGCTTATAAAAACCTTACCAGGATTTCCTACGAGTACTCAGAAGTGGTTTATCATTCTCTTTTGTTGGCAGCCTAAGACCATGTAGTTTGCCAAGTTCAAACAGGTGGCAGAATATAATAACCCTATCATATACACAGTGATCTCAGCTGGCCCCCTTCTGCCAAAAAGCACAGTGAGGATTCTAACTCCTGGCGCTGGTTGTGCAGCCAGGGGCTCTGAGCCACTGAGGCACACCAGTTCCTTTCTCCTTCACCTCTCTCTATATATACATACTATAAACCTCACTAGTTGTCATATGCTTTGTGAGCCACTGAAGAAATGCCATCACTTAGAACAGTGGTCCCCAACCTTGGGCCTCCAGATGTTCTTGGACTACAACTCCCAAGAAACCTTCACCACCACCTCTGCTGGCCAGGATTTCTGGGAGGTGGAAGTACAAGAACATCTGGAGGCCCAAGGTTGGGGACCACTGGCTTAGAAGCTTCTGAGATGCATTAACTGAACTGAAATTGCTAAAGGGATTACATTAGTGAAGTCTTTAAAAGGCAGAAATCAAGAAAGATGCTAATTATTCTTAACCTATGGAACAAGTAGACTTTGGTGGACGAAGAAATACTAGAGACATTTGGCAGTTTTACATGTTTTTACTCCCAAGAAAAGGAGAGAAGGATGTGGCAGTTTAAAAAAAACCTTTATTGCATTATCATAAAATATCAGTTTTTGTAATAACCAGATTTCAAGGAATGATGACTATCATATGGACAAACTTTCTTTAAAGCTCTAATGTGTGTGTGGACGTATAAAATGCATTGTTTTCATCTCCATACTTCTACAAAGTCCTAAAGGATACTGACTTTCCATTTATCGGATGTTCTGGTGGCACTTTAATTATAACTAATCAGGCTGAAGCATCATGAGGGGTAAAAGAAAATGCAAAAAAGCAGCTTTTTCTGCTGACAAATATGATGGTCTCCAATCAGTGGTGTTTTAGGTAGCATCAATTTATGTTTCTCTTCCAGCTGAAGGGCTGAAAAAAAAAAAGAAATACCACTACAATTCAAAATATACGGTTTGCACCCATTACTACTGCTCACTCACACCTAATATTTTGCAAAAGTGATATTTTATAAAAGCAGCATTTAGAAACAAGAACACCTTTTTTTCCTGAACAAACAAGAATACAATTCTAGACTCCAGTGCAGTCTGCAGCGCATCATATTGTAAACTCTGGGGAAAGAGACAAATCTTTTAACCCCTTACAAAAAGCAGGTACTCTGAAAATTTTGACTTCTACTTCTCCACTCATCTTTTGCATGTAGCATTCCTGCCCCTTCCTCTCTCTCTCTTTTTTTTTCCTTTTTTGTTTTTTGGCAGTTAAGACAAGAGGGGTTTGTACATACAAGTATAGCAGCACTTGTTGGGTGCACTCTGATTCCAAGCAATTTTGACACTGACTAATCTCTCAAAGTAAGCAACCCACAGAGATAATGAAGGAGAATGAGGAAGCATGTTAAGGCACTATATTAGATGGACAAGGATAACACGCTACCGAGCTCCTTCCCTCACTCTGTAGCTTTGTAATACTTAGCCCTCACAATAAATAAAGCTCATGGGTCTTACAGGAGTAAGCAAAGACAACCAGATGCAAACAATTGATCCCTTCAGACCTCTGTGAAAAAGGGGGATCTCTGCCCCCACCCCCAGCTTTCACTATGGCAAGCAGCACTTCCATAAGCACCTACCAAAAGCAAGCCCCAAACCACTCATTTCCACTGAAGCGTTCAAGGACTGTGCTACTGTTAACCTTCAGAGGAGAACTAAGACTTTCTCGGTGTCGAGTGAAGCTGGAAAAGAATGCTAGCACTACATCTATAACTTGGGTTTCCTCCCACTGCCATCTATGGCAGGGTCATTAAAGGAGTTTTTCAACTAAGAAGGTCTCAGGTGAATGCTTATACTTCGTGGAAGGTGAAGGTGGTTTGGGTAACAAAAAGTGCATTTCATCTCTTGACCTGCATGCAACAGGCAGGCAGCAATGACTGGGACAAAATTAAGAGTGATCAGCAGCGCCCCATGAACAAAGCAAAACCCAGTATGAAGAATGTTTTGAACTGTCTCTATGCTCACCATCCCCTCCCAAGCCCAAGTACAGTTCAACCACCTCAAGATCATCAGGTTGGAAAGATAGAAAGAGCCACACTGCAAAAGGCTCCCCCCCCCAAATTCTTCTAAGACCCAATTTCATCACAGTCTTGTTACAAAGATGGAATCCTTTCCCATTCCCTTCGTTCTTCAGGGATAAGCACACTCAGGCCAAATGCTTCAGGAGGCCTCTTTCCTTTCCTGCATGAAGATCAACGTGCTGGGGGGGGGGCGCAGGTGGTTACTGGGACGGGCTGGATCACAGGTTTATATCGGTGACGTCCGTAGGTGTGCTGGTCAGGTTAACTTCCTGGCTGTCAGGATAAACTGCATTCTTGGAGGGGTTATATTCCTGCCGGGACTGGGATGTCTGTTTCAGGTTCTCAGCCAGGGCAGCCTCAATCTGCTCCTGGCAAGCTTTCAGGCAGTCCTAGGGAAAGAGAGAGAGCACCCAAAGAGGTTAAAAAAATGTTCAGCTCTTTTATTATGTTATCATCTGCAACACTCACACAATGAGAACTGAGCATCTTCAAATATCATCATGCAGGGCAAGCGGAGGGTGCATCTGTTGGGAGTTACATTTTACAAAGAGCATTTATGCCCCATAAAGTTACAAGAGGCAAAGACAGGCAGGTGAGATTAATGAGTTTAATTGACCTTGAGAAAGGCTGAGTGCCTCTGAGTAAGAACAGTATAAAAGAAGCAGTAGCAGTAAGAGAAAGCAATAAAGAAAAGGGAGGGAGGGGGGACTATGTAAAAAAGAAATATTTAACTTGCATGAATTAAATGTGAATCATGCTTTTCTAAAATAAATAACTTTATTCATGTTAAGACTCTCTGCTGTGCTATTTGGCACTTAAAATATAGGAAGGGGACTACAAACCCCATCAGTATCTGCACTTCACAGTTATACAAGTTTAATACCACTTTAATTGTCATGGTTCCATCCTACTGAACCCTGGAATTTGTGCTTTGGTGAGGTGCTTTGAAATCTCTGCTAGAACTCTATTGCACTTCCTTGAGCAACAGCAAAGAACCCTGTAAGAATCTCAGCAAACTACAGAGCCACAAATACTTTGCCAAACTACTGAGCCAAATCTGGAAGACCAGTTCTGGTGCTTGCTAACTAAGGCAATGTGCTGACACTCTGCAGACTGTTGCCATTGCTGCTGGAGGCAGAATACTGAGAATGACCTCAGGGAGGCTCTACCTAGAAATTTCAAAGGAAGCACTAACAGGACCTCATTCAGAGGGTGGAGGGGGGGGGGAATCAGCAAAGTAGCTCTCAAAATTTCTTGATCAAAGAACCGAAGGACATGAAGTTTTATATTATGAGAGACTCATGCATGACAGTGTGCACAGCACACAAAAACCTCTGGGTTTTATGAAAGTATATTTCTTAATTGCTCCAAGCTACATACATTTCCTTGAAGGTAGCTGACTTACGTAATAATGCACACTGAATTTCAGAGCTTTCAAGTTCTAGATGTGCAGGGAATTCTAAAAAAATAATAATGGTTTTTATGGCTCTACTGAACTTTTGCTTCCTTATACCCACTTGAGATTCTTCATGGGGTTTATTAGTTGTGCCTGTGGGTATTTCGGCAAGGAGAGGGAAAGAGAGCAACTGTCCAACAAATTCGAAACTTGCATGGAATACAGTCACTGGAACAAAATGCTTCTCTTTACACAAAGTGCAAAGACTGGTAGGAAGAAGCAGAACTCAGAAACTGATGATGCACTTAACGTTCAGGGGATACCCAAATGCTGACACTGGTAGTTAGACCAGTGGAATGTGTTTTTCACCTTGCAGTTCCACAAAGGAAGACCTTCCCCTTAATTCATTTATCTTGTGTGCTTTCTAGATTGTGAAGAACCAGTACAAGATTGTGGTAGTCCCTCCTCTCCCATCCATGATACAAGATTCCCAATCACATGTTCAGTCACTCTAGAGCTCTCACTAGTCCATTTGTCTACACAACACAAATGGTTCATTATTTTAGGTAGCCCAGGTTTTAAAGCAGAGTTGGACAAATGATGACTATTCCAGATGTTGGTAGATTGTTACTCTGACGATCCTTCATCATGGGATATGGTGGTTAGGACTGATTACAGCTGCAATCCAACAGCTACTGCATGATGGGCAAAGCAGCCAATGAGATCCTGGCTGGACAGAAACTCCTAGTCTATCCTAAAAATAACCCATCCATGCCTCAAAGGCTGAAACTGTGTGCTGTCTCTTTAGAAGCAACATTAAAAGCAGCAACACTGGATACATCCACTTGATCTCCTGCCTCTTCTTATGTGGCTGTGCCTGGAAAAGCAAAACAGCTCACAACACCTGCCACTCATTGTTTGCAAGGCAGAAGCAGCCATCACCACCACCGCAAGTACTCCTATGTCTTGTACCAGCATGCACTATTCATGTCATGGATGGGAGAGGAGTGACTGCCACAAACACACACCGACCCACTAAACACACATTCAAGGAAACTCTGTGTGAAGCATTACCTAACATCAGAATGTGTTCACCAATTGGGTGGTTGTTTTTTGTTTTTGCAAGGTTCTAGACATACTAAGCTCCTTGTGGCCGAGCTCTTTAGAGAACAGTATTGCCCAGGCAGCAAGTTTAATGCAAGGGAAAACTTTTAACCTTGAATTTGGGAGGAGTTTGAGTTCAGCCATGATTTGCACCAGGGAGATGAGGAAACCCCTCTGGTTCTGCAGTGAGTCACAGCGGCGAGCCTTAACGGACACCCACAGGCCACTGCCTCCCCTTGTCTAAAGGTCAGCGATCACTGTCACACCCCAGCTTATCACTGACATTTTGTGTGCAGAATCAGGGCTCTGACCAGATCCCCAAGAGGCTTCTGAGGCTGGCCCTGTTCACAGGATCCTGTCATACATACAGTCTTACCAAGAATCCATACCTGCTTCTTAGAAATTGTCAGAGGATGTGGCAAGTAAAAATAGCAACACCCAGCACTCCTTTCCCAAGACAGTAACTGTAGCCTCTAAAACCCCCATGTAACAGCAACAAGGGCTCAGCAAGGGCCATTCTGAATTTCTTGGCCAGCTTGCAACTTCATGGGAAGGAAAGGAAGTAAAAAGCTATGAAAGGAGGAGGATTGATTAAGGAAATTCAGAAGCATTATATCCAGGGCTGATTGCATGAGAACTGCAATCCTTTCGTGTGAGAGAGACAGAGAGCTAGACTTTCTGGGTCTACTTAGCAAAAGAGTCTCCAGCACTATTCAGAAAATTCAAGCAGCAGGCCAACAAGAAAGAAAGGTGTGGGAAAAAGATGGAGAAGGCCAAGAGGAAGTGTAGCTCACAAAAATGGCACCCTGGCCCATTATTGTTCGACAGCCAGTCTATGTTTTATGGCCATGAGAATCAGCTATAGGAGAACAAGGCACCCAAATGCCTCAGGATTTGAAAATCCTGAATTCCTCCAGAATACGAGCTTTACAATAAGCAGATATCCAAGAACTTTAAGATCATGCATGATGCACATGGTTACTAGAGACCCAGTTTCGTAGAATGGACTAGGACTCAGGAGACTTGGATTCAAATCCCTGGTCAACCATGGAAACTCACAAGGGAATGGCAATGGTGAACCATTCCTTAAACATCGAATGTTTCTTGCAAACCATATTAAGGTCACCATGAATTGGAAGCAACCTGATGACCATACCATGCCATCCGTTCACTAGAACAGAAGCTGGAACTGATTCAGCTGCTACATGCACTGTCTCTGTAGCCCAGACTAGCAGCCTAAATCAGTGTTGTCCTCATGCATGTAACACATACAAACAATACAGATATCAATCATATTCTCTTGATTCCAAGTAAAATGTAGCATGCAAGAAAGATCAAACAACTGAAGATGCTATCAGTCTTTGCTTACGTGCAGGACAAATTGGCAAGAAAAAAAGTAGTTAGTGTCAGACTCCTTGGAACCTGAACCAAAATGAAAAAGCCAAAGGCAAGTCAAGGGGTCTGGAGTGGAGGGATGAAATCTGTGATCGATAAGATTCAAACCTCTCAACCTACTCTGTTAACCACATTGATTCATTAATCAGACAAACCAATATGATATGGATGGATACCTTAATTATATAACATAATCTAATCTGAATGTCTTTCTTGAATCTTTGTGCCCAAAACAACATTAATGTCACTAACCCCAAAAACTCAACATGTAAGTAGAGACTATGAAGGCACAGACAACAAAGCAGCTTTTCCACCTTGCGGGAAGGCAGCACGAGTGAGCCTGAGCAGCCCAAGTCACTGCTTGAAGCCTCTACCGATTAAATCTCCTTTTGGCAGTTTATTAGGCATAGCAGAAGGCATGACATGAGACATCATTAAAAGGGTATCTATCTCCTCTGCTAGCTTGTCATTCAAACATGAAATCAGGAGACAAGACACCCCAAAGACACCAAATGGGGGAGGGGGAGCCAACATGGATTGGCCAGGGGAGAAAGCCTCCAACTGAGAAGAAAAACTGAGCATTCCCAGAACCTCCCAATGGCATGGCGCCCTGGTGACTTTGTAATAGTCTAATCCTCACTTCCTAAGCTTCCCCTGTTCTGTAATCCTTTCTCCACCTCCCACCTGTTCTATACAGCTTTCAGTCAATGGTGCTCACAGGCTCTGCATTCAGCCTTGGCCTGATTCACAGTAGCAGCTTGCAAGCAGCTGGCTGTGGGCAAATCAGAGATGCCTGGGGCAGGAAGCCAAAAAAGCCCAGCGAGACAGCCAGCTACCCGCTCCATGTCTATCAGGCAGTGATTATTGGGGCTGCAAGAGAGGTCCAATTTCACTGCCCCTCTTCTTTGCCTTCCAGTTTTTGACAGGTAACAGAACACACTAAAAAGCCAGCTGTGCCCTTTTCTCTGACACTTCTGTGGTACCCAGGGACAAACCCAAGCAGAAGTGCATATAACTGAACCTGGCAGGAGATCTGTGACTGTGACATGAAGGCAGATGTTCAGCCAGCTCCAGTCTTTCTCCACTGGCCCACTTAGTCTCTTCAAACCTGTTGATTCAGGTGAACGGATCCTTTTTTCAAAGGCCCATGAATGGCGAAGAGAAGCAACTGATGGGGTGCACCATGCAAACAATCTGTGGAGGAGCTATGTGCCGTTGTGTAGCCATCACACAGCCAACGGCAAGCCAAGAGCTGGCAATGTGCAGTCCAGGAACAGTTGGGCTTTAGAAAAACAGCCAAATTGGTGGAGACTTCCCAGCCAAAGCTGAGTCACAGCCACTCAATGTGCTGGCTTTGTGTCAAGATGTGAGCACTTGGTTAGGATCGAAGCAAAGGATAAAGGGGAAGGAAGAAACGCAGAAGGCTCTGCTAGTAGAGAACTCAGTAGCTGTCTTTGCCAGCCCTGCAAGCTTCTCACTGAACAGGCAAAAAAGAAAAAGAAAAAAGCCCATGGAGTCTTCTGTTGCTTTCGGCTGCAGCATACCCGTGCTGAACAGGAACTGAAAGAAGTCTCAGATCCTCTTAAAAGTATGGATACGGTGGGTGATAAAATTAACTGATGTATACTGAATCTCATGCCAAGTAAAGAATTTAGTCTGCAAGACACAAGAAAACATCCTACGTCCTTGACACCAGAAGCCATTATGGATGCTCTTACACAGGTAATGAATTTCCACCAGCATCTTTTGCAGGCACAGGATCTCAAGAATTGCATGCATGCTTCTGCACACTGGGAATCCTTGCATCTACTGTTACATCAGCAGCCTCTCATGCTGAATTCCAAGCCCTTCCAGTGGGATATTTGGTCTAAATACCTTTGGAGTATTTTAAGGGGCTTCTAGACTTCCAGTAGACAGGAGATATGGCAGAAAACCAGCACAAAATCTTGCAGAATGTTATAGGCCATCATGATCTCGTCTTTAGCCTCTTTGGGAAGAGCAGGAAAATTCATTGGCCACATCCAGGGCACGGGTAGGCCAATGTTGCTGGATTGCTCTGCTGGCCTAGTGACCTGTTAGACGAAGTGTCTCTTCTGCTAACTGCTTTGATAGTCAATTGCAAGGTTGGGCAATGTATGTCTCTCCTGACGTTGTCAGACTGCAACTCCCACCACTCATCTTAATTAGGTATAGTGGCTAGGGCTGATGGGAGTCACAGTCTAACCACATTTGGAGAGGTGCACTTTGCCCAATCCTGATCTAATGAACTGAACGGTAAGAATATAAAGCAACCTTAATAAGTATAGTACTTAATAGTTACAGTAACCTCCATGCTGTGGCAATTTCCCTGGATCCCCTTTGTGTTTGGATTTGGTAGTTCTTTTACTACAAAAATGTCATGGTGGTCACAGGCCTCTAAAGCACTGATTTGCAACTTTTTTTGAGTTGTGACCTCCTTTTATAACAGCCGAGTAATCTGTGACACCACCTGCCATGTTTGCATTAAAAAGGCATTTTTAATAGGGGTAAAGTCATCCTTTCTTGGAAAGCAGAGGGTTCTTTCTCCCATTAAGGGTTTGTTTCTCATACATACACCTGCACACGAACTTTAATATCCACTCCGAAAGGTCAAGGAAGAAATTATTAAACAAGGGCTACAACGCATGACTCACAATCCCCCAGAAAACATTTCACAACCCCCTTGGCGGTCATGATCCCCAGGTTGGGAAACACTACTCCAAAGTAACCTGTGGGCCACAGTATGTCTCTGCAGAGAGGTGTTAAGTGCCACTTGGCATCACCAGAACCTCTGACCTCTTATTAAAAAGAGTCAAATCCTTTTTTGTGTTGAATGTGGGCAGACAACGTCACAGTATCTTTCCTGGAATCAAATAGCAACATAACAGAAAATGTTCAGTCTCTCAAACAAGTATCCCTTCCCACTTCATACTCACCACTTCTGTGCCAGTAATGCTGGCAAGCAGCTCTGTAAGTGCCTCTCCAGAAAAATTGCTGGATGAGGTAGAGAGGCCATGGACTGCCGCACCAATGCTACCCGTAGCAATCATGGATGGCGGATACATTGCAAATGTGTAATCTACAAATGCCGGAAAGAGAGAGGGTGTTAGGAGAGAGAAAGAAACACAAATCACTTTCTTACTATTGGGTCTGGTAAAATCCACCATCCAGACAGAAAGGCCAAGAGCTTTGCCCATACAGCAAATAAAATCTAAGCAAATTCAAACAAACTGAGCAACTAGACTTTTCCAACTTAGGAGACTCTACAGTGGCAGAGGTATTAAGAGTCACTATAACACAGGTACTGTGTCTTTCAAAAAGATATAAAACTGAAGTTAACTCATCCCTTATTTTTTTTTTTTAAAAAAAGATAACCTACCTCATCTTTCACCAGGTGGTTCACAACAAAATAACAATCCCAGATGCAATCCTATGCATGTCTACTCAAAAGAAATGTCAATAGCACTTGTTCTAAGGTGAATCTGAAACTCTGTATCTAGTCTACTGGAAACACACCATACTAAATTCTATCAGACTTACTTCTGACCAGACATTCAGATTGTGCCGATACCCAAAAATGCTTCAGAATTTGGCTCCCAGATCCATTCTTAGTAAGTGGGATTCTGAACCTCTTCTACAGCCCATTAAGGACATGCTTCAACAAACTGTCCCAGAAATTATTCCCAAACTCAAGAGGTGAACATCAAAGTCCTATCCATACCGAGGTCATCTTAACCACACACAATGACATAACACTGAGAAAGGCACCCAGAGCTGATTAGAATTTGTAGGAGACAGCACACAAAGAGAGTAAGACCTATAGGTAAGTTGTAATTCACTAGGCTGTGAATGGATTTACCAGTTTAAACAACTATTCAAACTGAACTCAGAAGCCAGCTAATTGGATTAGGAATTTGCAAACTTTGTTCAGGATCTTAAAAACATACGATCCATTATCTTATAGAAATTGTTTTGCAGGATTATGTCTGATGCCTGTTTCCCAGGTGTGGGCTGCACATCAGACAGGGAAACCAAATGTTGGAAACACTGGGCATCCGGCGCATTCCAGTAAAAGTTCTGCCAATGCTTGCTGTGGAGTGCATTTAATGTTATAACATGCCAGTCTTTAGTAATTGACTGTTGTACCAGCTGCCAAGGGAAGGAAGAAAGAATGTATTACCCCCACGGCATAGTCTCCATTCATTTCCAGACTATCCAGAAGTGGTTGGGAAGCACATCCTACAGTTGCTAAGCAACCACAAAATGCTTCCCTTCCACAAGCCCCAGGACTAGGAAAATAGCCCAGCAGACATACCAGGCAGTTTGCTACACAGCAGTGAAGCACAAATGAAAAAGCATATGAAACCTATTCAAGATGCTTCACTACCTAATGATAGCCTTCCAGTTAGAATGATATTACACACAAATATTTCTTGATAGTATGTTACTGGAAGCAAAATAGCATTGACAATGCACGTGATGGAAGAAGCAGAAGTTGCCCTTGCATATGTACAGAAAACACAACTGCAGACATGGCAAAGTTCATATCAACTCCATGACTGCAGAAAAACCTCAGGAGTGATCTGGTGCCCATTCTGGACTTGACCAATAAATCCAGTTTTTTAAAAGAGTGAAAAGAGCACTCCCAAATAACGCTGGGAACATTTTCTCAGCCCAAAGGAACTTCAAGAGAGAGAGGTTCAGCTAATTATAAACAGTATCATTAGCAAATACTAAACTTCAGCCAAGTGCTAAAAACTTCTGTGCAGCAAAGCACATCACCTGGCAAAGCAGCTTTTTTGTCTTGGCAGTTATTATTTAAAAACTTTCTGCCCACCAAAATAAAGTATACTAAAAAGGATTAAAATGTTGTTTTAAAAACACTGAAACAAAGTTAGCAATGAATTTTTAAAACATGCAGACTGTATAAATTAGTATAGGTTTGGCTGTCCATCAGAAGATCAAAAAGCATGGAGCCAGCCAGTTACTTCGGGTCATTATTCAAGTGAGAATCTTTACTAGCAAGTAAATTCATTTAATATATTCATCAGGCACATCATCCTTGCCTTTCTGAGACAGAAACATCAGCGGTAAAGGGATCTGATATCAATGGGTATCAACTTGGTATTTCTGAAAAATGAGTGCACAAGGTCTGAGAATGTATTTAGCACAGTTGGAACTAGATCAAGATCTGTCTTGTATCAGCTTTGTTCATTTAAGGAGTACACCATCTTTCCAGAGAAGGCCATTTTCTGCAACCCAAACTATACCTGTTGCACACAATGCAATGAAGGTCTGTGCGTGTTTCTTCACCAAGTCCAACGTATGCTGGGGAAGTGGCACTCGCTGGAGAATATGATCCAGGAAGTCATTTGCTATTACTGATACTAGGTCCCACTTTAACTTCTCCAGAACTAAACATTCCCAGCCCTGAATAGGGGGCAAAAAGAAAAGGTTACACAAACAGTCTTTTTGATCAGATACTGCACAAAAAATCATACAGATTTATGATTCCAGAAAAGACATACAACTTATAAGACATCCCCACAAAATTTACAGCAGCCAACGAACAGGGAGGCCAGGCATCTGTTTGACTGAGACCTGACTGTGCACTGCAGAAGACAGGATATGATAAGCTGTCATGTGGAATATTATGCAGCATCGGTTAACATCCTGTTATCTTTCTATGAGAAGGAAAGAGATAACATAATTGTTCCCTCCCCTGTTTCCTGTCCCCAGCTGGGACCATGGGCAAGCCTCAGCAAGCAAGCCGCCTGCTACTGATCCAGATGGACAGAAACAAGTCTAAGTATAATTCCCTATGTTTCTCATATAAATACTCTGCAAAGCACTGGCTTAAATTAGTAGGAAATCATGTTATTCAAGATCCATTCAGTCACTGTTTCCTTATCCAACTACATGCCCATATCATCAAACACTGTCTAAACTATACTGAACTAGAATTCTCAAACCTTTATCCACTCTCGTGAGTGCTCGTATGATCCATTTGACATAAATTACCTGTAACCCAGACTAATACTTATAGTAAGAATTCTGTTCCTAAACAGACTCCATGATGCACAAAAAAGTGTAAAAACAACTTCCTCTTACTGTTTCTCCTGATGTTTTAGACTACAACTCCCATTAATCCCACCCAAGGATGTTGACAGTTTTCGCTTAAAACATCTGGAGTTCCCTCCCCATTGCAGAAAGTCTGGACTAGACCTTATCTTTAGAAATTCAGATGCTTTTGGGGTCAACACCAGTGGCCTGCTTTCTTTGCCTAAAAAGACGGTCCCATGTTTATCCCCTGCTTCCTCTTTCAACAACTGCAGCTCATGACAAAATTTCTTCATTGCTTTATCACAGGAAGAAGCAACACCAGAACCCCTTGCTACAAATGGAGCAGCAAGAGAGGTATTATTGCATTTTGCTCAAAACAGTGAACATCCTCTTCCTGAACTTTCCCTTGACATTTAGCATGCTCCTGTTCGACCAGTTGAAATTACACAAGATTAATTTTTATATTTAAAGGCATAGACGTTTGAATTTTCAAGACAGCAGCATCTCCGTAATATCATGGACTCATATGCTTTGATCCCCTATGTGCACAAACAGGTCCCTTCCTGCCCACAACATAAACCATTATACCACTTTCCCCCTAACACAGTGATTCCCAACCTTAGGTAACGCATGCGTTCTTGGATTGCAACTCCCAGAAGCTTTTGCCAGCAGCTGTGCCAGCTGAGATTTCTGGGAGTTGCAGTTCTAGAACACCTGGATTACCCAAGGCTGGGAACCACTACCCTAGCAGATGTTCTTCCCAGCTTCACCATACCAAAATCTGATAATGATCACCGTATCTCAGCCAGTTCAAAACCTATCTGGATATTAGGTACAGAAACTGTTGAAAGGAGAAATAATGGTGTTGTGTATGGACTTGTCCCCCACCCTCACAGCTTTCCCCAAAACACATTTTTGAACCTCAACAACCATCTGATTTTTGTATTTGGAGTTTCATTTGCTATTTTTTGTGCGAAATGCTGCAAGACTCCACAATGCTCTTCTTTTCTGAGGGTTCTTCAACACAGACCTTAAGAAGCAAGATTTTATTTTACAAAGTGTTGCACCTCCTTTAATCCTTAGCTTATTTTCACTAATGCAACTTAAGACTTTCTTCAATAGATAGCCCAGTGGGCCATATCTAGCTGGGCTCTCTTAAGCCCCTGGCTCTTTCAACTTCATCCTGGCTCTCTCATCTTTTCTGCTAACTGAAATGAGTGCCGCTACCCCAGCTTCATGTCTTTTAAGGATGCTATAGATGTGTACTGTATGTGTATGATCATAAGGAACCACAGGAAGCAATTTGATGAGGACTTTACTGTGCATTGCAGAACACAAGATAAGATGTCCTGTGGAATTATTATACAAGCAGCGGTAACATCCTGGAATACAAGCAGCTATTGTAAACAGTAGGGCTACAAAAGGAAAAGAAAAGAAAAAAGAAAAACAACAACCAGGCTCCAGAATGGCAGGTTAAGGTCACCTTATTCCACAATGTAACTAAGTAATGCTTTCTAAGATGCAGACCATTTTACAGAGATGACAATCATGCTTTAACGCCTTATTTCTGTTTGTGTACTGGGAGCCCTTACTTTACAAGTGCAGCCCTCCAGACATTCTTCATCCACAATTCCCAGCACCCCTTACTGTGCTGGCTAGTGTCGATAGGCATCAGAGTGCATAAATATCTGGAAAGAGAAACTTTCTTTACCTCTGTCCTGCACAGATGCAAGCAACCGTCAAGACAGGTGCATTTGTCTTCCCAAAGACCATACCTTAAGTTCTTGTTTAGAATGTCCTATTTTCCTAGTCATTCATTTCCTTTCCTTTCCTAGGGAAATTTAATGCTACTCCCCACTTCCTTCAGGTGGGGTATTCATGATTTCCAAAACAAATACGCTCAGACAACAAGTTTAAATGCAGTTTTGTATTCTGCAAACTCTATCAGCTTGAACTGTAATCCAAGAGTCAAGCCGATCTTTCCTCAAGTGGCACAAGACAGAGGGTTTTGTCTCAAAATTATTGCCCAGAAATTTCATGTTAACCTCAATTTTTTTGCAGGTTATGTTCAACCTGGTCCCTGCGGGCATTCCCAATGCAGCTTCCACCCGGTTTTTCCTTGACTGGTTGAGTAACTGGGAAAAACACTGCCCTTATCCCACACCTATTAGTCCCCACATTCTGGCTTTGGCAGCAGACACAAGCTTCTAAGATTCATTAGCACTTGAAGTTCTCATTCTGACCATGAATGAGAAACTTTACACTGTGCTACTTTGTGGGAAAGACTCAGTCTTCACATCAAAACAGCAAGTTCATGCATCAAACTGATACGAAAATCAAAGGCAGAAGCGATTTCTTACAAATATCACGATCTGTTTTTTTATTCGTCCCCATGTCTAGTTAAAACTGAAAACAATATCAAGCAGTGCTCTTATGTGTGTGTTCTGGGTGTAATGAAGAAATCAAGGCCTAGTCCACACATGCAACACAAATGAGGCACTAACCATCCTGAGGTGGTAGAGAACACACCTCACCCCAGTCTGCAAAACATGAAGTGCCATTTTTGTGAATGCTCCCTCATGATAAACCCCCTCCCCCCTGGTTTAAATAACAGCTTAGCTTATCAGAAAAGGAAGATGCCAAGCCAGCTCTCTCCTACTGGTGTGCTAGTTTATAGAAAATACTGAACACAAGAGAACCATTCAAAAATGTGACACATACACCCACCCACATCACTTTGCATTCTAAAGTAAAGCAGTCAAGCACATGTCCAAACCAGTTTATATAAAGTCAGCAAGTGCCCAAAATCTCCCTAAAGGAACAGAAGTGGGGAATTTATGGGGAAAGTTCTGTTGTTTCCCAGCATATGTACACTGAAAAACAATCCCCACATGTACAAGGTAGTCTGGGGCATCTTAAAGAACAACAGTCCCCAAAACCGGGCAGACCAGATGGTTAATGAATGACCTCTGAAAGCAGATCCCATCAAGCTGAAGACCTTATGACCCGCTGACACTAAATGCTCTCTCTAAACTTTTTCTGCAGCTAAATGTGCATGGAGCAACTTGGTTGCATGGCAAGGCGACTTAGATAATACCCATGGACGGAAACACAGCTTCCTTCAAGTGGATAAATTCCTTGTTGCATCATTTCCTTTTACTAAGAATAACTTCATCATGATTTTGAGTGCTGAGCGGGTGTCAAGCAGGCATCCTTTTCTGCAAAAGGAAACGGGACCTGCTGGGAAAGTGAGGCGACTTTCCTTCCAGGAGCCACAGAGGAGCTGGCTTAATGTTATATCCTGGTAAGTCGCCAGGATGTCGCTATTGTCCAAATCTCAATGAAGACGCTTTCTCCTTCCTCTCCCTGGATCACTCTCACTGCCCAGTTGTGAAAGAAGAGAAGCAAGGGACATTATTAGCACACAGGAGGGAAGCAGTGTCTCTTTACGGTTGTGTAAGTGAAGCATTTAACACTCGCAATCCCAGAGACTGATGCCATCTAGCAGTGCCAAAACAAGTTCTTGACTCTTCTTAGCAGCGATAATCTTCAAAAGCAGGACAGAAATTGCTCTGCAGTCCCAGAACCTAAAGACTAGATAATGTCTCAAAGGCAGATAGATTACAGAACAAATTCACATTAACTTCTGAATCCTGTCTTTCTGCCTATGGATTTCAATAATTAAATCTCCCTAATTTTTCTAGCCAATCCAAAGTGGACTTCAGTTCCTCTTGGCCAGCATGAACACATAGCTTAAATGGAAAGAAGCCGAGCTGAGAATGTCCTTCTTAATCCTATACTGTTTTTGGTGCACTGTACTCCTCAATAAGCAGAATGGCCTGCTCACTGTGAACAGCTGTACTCAGTTTCCTGCTTCCTCTGCAACATACTCCATCTTTGCAGGTAGTATCAGATAGTCAGTCTGCTCTCAAGATGTATTTCAGACTTACATGAGTGAACAGGAACTGCTTGCATGGCACATCCTAAATGATTATGAGGAGAGGTACAGGCAAGGATGAATTTCAGTTCATAGCAAAGTAAAATGTCTCATAAGTAAGCCATGATTGCTGATATTCTTGAAGCATAAATCAATACAACTTCCCCTCCAATGCAGGTCACAGGGAGGTCTTTATTAACATGTAGTAATACTAAGCAATACTTTTTTTATTCAACCAACTAAGCAACCACATTTTATGTGCAGCTAAAAGATACATGAATCTAATTTGGATTAAGAAAAATAATGCACTCCTATGGCATCATATTTCGTTTTCTCATCGCACATATTGAGTGTGCTTCATCTTTCACCTTCTGAGAAAAGTTATTTCAGAGATTATGTCCATTGTTTCCTTTCAGAAAAGTGCAGCCCCATGGTGATTAACCTGGTTCAAGTCTCAAGCAGGGGAGGGGAACATACAGCCTATAAGAACCTGGTGGCATACTGCTACTTCCCTTGTCTCACATTACTGACCAGGCTGGAAGGGGCTCATGGGAATCTGAATTCAACAACATGAGGAGGGCCAGACTCCCTGGTTTTAATCTAGAATAACCTTAGAAAAATGTTTTGACACCTGGACAGGCAGAATGGACAAAAATATATTTTGTTTAAAAAAAACAACACTTCTACTCAAATCATTTTTCTAACAAGAATTCCAGATACATGAAATGTCATCTAAAGTTAGTATCTCAGTGTGATACAAGGAGGCATATTATAATTTTCCTGTACAGTCTTTTAATCACAGATCTGTGATGTTTCATCATGTATTCCTAGTTAAAACTACTTGTCCAGAGTTTTTTAAACCATAATAATAAAATATAAGACTTTGGAGGGCAAGTACTAAAAGGCCATAATATTAATAGTCATGTATCATCAAGTCAATTCTGAGTTACAGCAATCCTTTTCAGGGTTTTTTTAAAGGTAGAAAGCACTTTACCATCCCCTTCTTCTGGGGCATCCTAGGACTGTGCAGCTTGCCCAAAGCCACACAGGCTGGCTCTTCGCCTTGGAAGCACAGTGGGGAAATGAACTCCCAACCTCTGGCTCCACAGCCAGATACTTAACTCACTGAGCTACCCAGCCAGCTCTAAATAGGCCATGCATTTATTATTGTGCTTGGTCATTGCAACGGCATGGAAAGCAAGCTCCCAGTTCTGCTGGCTGGAGCTGCCCTTCAACAGTAGACTGCATTTACAGCTGACAGGGGATGGGGTGAAAAATATCCACCACAAGGACCTAGTCACCTCTGCAAAGTTCAATAGGATAAACCTACCACTGACTGCAGTCCTGCAGGTGACAGACAGGTGATGTTAGGCTCCAAAATTCTACTTAGGATTGCACTGATGGACTTCTACTTCCCACATCATACAGAATCACTGTGCTGAATCACTGCCAGCTCGACTTTTGGAATTCTGGAACTTAGGCATTGCAGTAAATGATCTTGTCTTTGGCTCTCACAGAGAAAGCAGAAGAATAATCCTTCAATAAAATGCCACTTTCCTAAAATATATATCTGCAGCTTCTAAATTTGGGGTGTGTTGACTAGAGATTCTGAACTAGATCTAGTTCAAAAACCTTTTTACAGATTATGTTCCACTTCTTACAGTTACTAAAATGGGTATTTGTATATGAAAAATGTTAATTAGAAAGCTAGAAATCAGTTATTTAAATTGTCTTTTTTTGCTTTGGTGGTTTAACTTTCCTTTGATTTAAATCAACTCATCCTGTTGATACGAAACAGTTGTATTCATCCTGAACAAAGGCAATCTTGCAGAGGTCCCTTCTGTTCTCTAAATACTATGGTGAAAGGGCATGGTGAAACTCTGCATTGGAAAGCAGTCCATGTATATCCTAAAAGACACATCCCAGAATGTATACACAGATGATATTAGATGGGTATGCCAATATGTCCCCATCACAACACTCCTGTATTTCTACTCATGGACCCACAGTGTTGACTATAATTACAAAGACCTTCTCTGCTAAAAATGACCACTGTTCAAGACTTAACAAAGTACTCCTGACTGGCTGTGTATTTTAGATTTTGTTCAACAACTGATCAGTCAAGCTACTTGATAGAGAAACCCAATCAATGTTTATGCTGCTCTTTTACATTCTTCTGATGTTGTAACTGAAATTAGTAATGGAAATTGACATACTGCTGTAGTATCTTGTACTTTACCTATGGAAGTTCATTTCTAAATCCTATTTTGCAAATTGCTACATCAGCAAAATCCAGTATTTTCCCTTAACGTTCCAGAACAGTCAACATTGAAGGGACAGTGCAAACAGTTCTTGCATTCAGAGTAGCTTATTTTGTCCATAAAAGAAATGGTTAACCAGTTGTTTTCTTCAAACACTACATTCTGCATTAATCCCTAATTTGTAATCAGGAAATATGAAAAAGGAAAGTCTTCTTCCAATAGAAACTGCACCTTGGGAACAAGCCTGATTAAACAGGAGAAATAAATCTGAATGGAACTGCACATACAAATAAAGAACATAGATCTGCTCTCATCTATATCAAAAACCTTTGGAATATAACTCCCATCATTCTTATCCCGCCAATATGGGTAAAGTCCATGCTACCAGAGCTGCAGTAGGCCAATGCATCTGGAGGGCACCTAACCAGGGAAGGGAAGCCCACCTAGCCCTAAATGGTTGCCACAGTGGCCAACCCCATGCCAATGGACAGCCTGCAAGCAGGATGTGTGTATCATAGCATCCTTCTGCTCATATTCCCCCTTGTTTGATACTAAGAAGCAAACTACTAGCAACTTTATCCTCCATAAATTTAATCTAATCCCGCCAATTTAGTGTCCACCACGGTATATTGTGGAAACTATATGGTGTCTAAAGAAGTACAGTGGTGCCTCACTTAACGGGCACCTCGTTTAACGATGAACTCGCATAGCGATGAAGATTTTGCGATTGCAAAAGCGATCGCATCGCGATGTTTTAAATGGGCAAAAATCGCTTTGCGATGATCGGTACACTGTTTCGCTTACCGATCATTGCAAAGCAATTTTTAACAGCTGATCGGCAGTTCCAAAATGGCCGCCGGGTAAAAAAATGGCTGCCCGCTGTTTTTTGGGACAGATTCCTCGCTTACCGGGCAGCGAAAATGGCCGCCCTATGGAGGATTTTCATTTAAAGGTGAGTCTGAAGCCCAGAGGAATACATTGAAGGGGTTTCAATGCTGCACCGATTATCATCGCTATGCGAGGCACCACTGTACTTATTTTCATCTGTTCTCAATCTCCCCATTCAGTGCCATTGGGTGACCTCAGATTCTAGCAAAACAGGGTAGGGAGAAAAATTTTCCCTATCAATTATCTTCAAACAGTGCACCTTCTTACATGCCTCCTTTTTCTACTAACCCTTACCCATGAAAATGTTGTCACTTTTCTATATTGGGAAAACACTCCAGATTTCTGGAGTCCTTGTGAGCCTCCTCTGGTTTATTTGTCCAAAATAATTTGATGATTTCAATAAACATGGCTACCTCACTGTTCATCCCTAATTCCAGACTAAGGACGAACTGTCACTGCACTTTGGCCACGGGCAAGAGCAAGCCAAGAATGTGCACCCAAAGTGGAGCTTGCAACATTACTTTTTTGGGGGGAAGGGGACTGCCAGCCAGTATGGACACAGGTCATATAAAAGTGTAATCTCTGCCTGGGTAAAAGCAACAAAATGGAAACATACAACATGGACAGAAAGAAGGACCTACAATGTTAATTCACTATTATTTAGTGAACAACAACAACTGATCTGTAGAAAAACAGAGGACGAAAAAACAGCTTACCAAAACTTCACTTCTTGTGATGGAATTGTCGGTATAAATGCAGAGTTTCTCCACACTTAAAGGGGTGGTCTCACGCAGCTTGGAAGCCAGAAGCATACAAACAGCCCCAAGAAGTTGCAAGTGGTTTTTGCGAGTGGGGACGCAGGACAGGTACCGATCCACATAATTCATGGCCAAGGGGAACACCTCTTCTTCACACTTCTGCTCCTCACAACCCTGGCAAAACAACAGAAAAGAAGAGGCGGTTTATAGTCAGGCAGTCATCTCCATGATCTACAATGGAGGCTGCCAAAATTGCCATTGTCAAAATGATCTGAATGTTTATACGTACATTTGAAGGAACACAAGAAACATGAGAGTGTGCAAATTAAGAGGGAAAAGATTTGGAAGTGCTCTGCCACAGATATCCTTGTTAAATGCGGCTGTATCATTGAGCCATACTTTCCATTCTTTCTAAGAGTCAGTGAAACCATACAGAAGTCAACCTCCACAAGTACTGAGATACAGTGGTGCCTCGCATGACGTTAATTCGTTCTGCGAAAATCGCTGTAAAACGAAAACGTCATGCGATTTTTAAAAGCCCATAGAAACGCATTAAACCCCGATTAATGCGTTCCTAGGGGCTTCAAACTCACCATCCAGCGAAGATCCTCCATAGTGTGGCCATTTTCGCTGCCCGTGCAGCGAGGAATCCGTGCCAGAAAACAACGGGTGGCCATTTTGAAACCGCCAATCAGCTGTGTGAAAATCATCGCTTTGCGATGATCGGTTACCGAAACAGGAGACCGATCATCGCAAAGCAAAATTCCCCCATAGGGAACATCGTTTTGCGATCGCAAAAACATTGACGTAAAGTGATTTCATCGTCAAATGGAGTGCTCGTAATGTGAGGCACCACTGTATTACAAGGATCAGGCCTCAGAGATGCAGTGTTTTTAACAGGCAATTTCTATGTTGAACATCTACGGTATTTAGCTTTGTTTGTTTTTTGTGTGGAAAGGACAGTAGAGCAGTTTATTTATCTGTAAAAAGGTATCATAATTATTTTTCCAAAACTAATTTTATTTTCTTCTTAGAACAAGGAACACCCCACATTTCCATGAAGGAAAGGAAACCAGCATGAAAGGCTGCTGATACCATTAAAACTCACAGATGCAAAATCCCCAACAGAACAGAAATCAACATGTTTAAATACTAAAAGCATGTGAAGCCCCATACATCCCAGTTTTACTCAAATCCATTCCTGCATTTCTAGCAGAGATCCTTTTTAGTCAGCATTCACTCCCAACACACCAGAGATGTTTCAGGTTTCAAATGAACACTCCATAGTTAATTTTGAGAATTCTACTCCTGTGTGTCACTCCGGCAGCAACTTCTCCAAACTTTGGGAATATTACAAACCCAACCCTTAGAATCTTACACCAATGCAAACTCAATTGAAATGAATGGCACATATCTAGAAGAAGTCATCACGTGGTGACATCATTAATGAGGAGTCATTTGTTCAAACAAAAAAAGTGAGGGGGAGAGCCCAAGTCTCCAGTCCTTTATCATGACCACTGGCTAGACTGACTTACCAAAAATATTGCCCACACTGGATCCATGAAAGCAGCATAATAATTAAAACCCTGAGCTTTCTGTTTTGACATACACTCATTAACCTTTATTGCACTGCTTTCCAGTTTGACTGAGTATCTGGGCAGTTTTTGTACACATTAGTTGCCAGTTGGGTTTTCTGTTTTAGGATTTCAGTTATAATCTCAACTGTTAGTTTTACATTCATCTCTCTTTCAAGAAAGTACCACAGCAGTCTTCTAAATGAATCCACAATGCACAGTTTCTCAGAAGAACCATTTTTATTAGTTCACCTTCTTACGTGACTGCTGTACCGTTTGGGTCACATTGAGAACCTAGCAAGATAAAAAAATAAACGTCCACCCAGTTTATGAGATCCTTTAGCCCTCATTTCTTTGAAAGAATTCTTACCTGCCCCAGGTGATCAGAGGAGTGGTTCTTTACGAGCCTGAATTTATCACCCAAAAGAAATCAACATTCACTAGGGTTAAGGGGCAGGTTATAATTAACTGTTTTAAAAATATCGTTATAAGAAAAATCTTGTGCAGAAAGAAATGATTAGCAGGAATTCACGCGGCATTTCTCTCTCAATGAGATCACTCTATCAAGTACAACAGCCATAAGAAGGTCCATTTTGTACAGGCACCCCAGTTTGAGAAGAGAGGGGCTTCACCCCAGATTGGTGGTCTACTCCCCTACCCACTTGAACCACAGGCTGCTGGCACTCATTAATCCACCATCCTATTTTCCACAGGCAGCAATTCAACAAATAAAGCTGTCTCCACACTTCACCCCCAAATTCTAAGTCTTCCCTGTTGCATTTGGGCCTGTAGTACAGGTATTTAATTCCCACGCAGTGCAGCCAGGAGCAAACAAAGGCAGGGAAAGTTACCTTTTTGGAGGATTCCAACAATACTGCCAACTGGAACCTATAGTCCAAAAATGTAACTTTCCCCATGTTTGAACATGCTTAATACCCCCCCCCCATATTTATGCATTTGCTCAACCTGCAGCTTTTCAGGATTTTTTTTTAACATTCAAGCCAATGCATTTCTTTCTCCCCAAACAACGAAAGTATTTTTGTAGTGAACTCTTTGCTATGTCCATTTCCGCTGCCTCTTCAACCTGGCACTCTTCTGAAAAATTCGCATTCATCAGTCCCTTTATCTTCTCCACCGACCGGGCTGGTGGCCGGAACCCCTAGAGGCTGCCTTACACATTGCCCAGGAAAAGGTGCACGCTGCCTAAGAACCATTTTCTTGGCACAGCACCAGCAGGGTAATGTTCAGCTGCCCCTACAACCAAGAAAACCGGATGGGCCACCGGCTCCTTTTACAACTTCAGCCTTTTCACACACCCGCCCCCATGACTCCCCCCTCAACAGGCAGGCCCGACCACTATTTCCAGCACCGGCGATTCTTGCTCAAAAGGATGGGTGGGTGGGAAATAACCCCCAATACTTCTCTAAAACTCCCCCCCTTCTCTCAATAAATGCTGAGCCTCTCCTCCCCCTCCCTCGGACCTTTGGTTGGGCTCTCCCCCAGATCCAAGCTTTCCCAAGGCCTTAATCCTATTCACCCACTTACCTGGGAGTAAATCTCATTGAACTCAACGGGGTTTACTTGTGAGTAAATGTGCTCAGGCTCGGCCAGTGCGATGTCTGCAAGCCTAGCATACTTACTTGGGACATAACTCCATTAAAACTAATTAGACTTTCTTCCA